CGAGGGCCCTGACACGGGGGGCCGCACCCAGAAGGCCCGAGTGCCGGATGACTGGCAGCACACCGCAACGCCAAGGGACACTCCCAGGAAGCAGCCGATCCCACTTCCGGCGCCCAACATCATCAAGCAGGACCCGGTGGTTTTCCACAAGAGCTCGGTGGGGCTGAATGAAGGGGGCCAACGCCTTTCAGCTACCCCCCTGACAAGTCCAACGGAGCCGTCACCGGGATTGGACATCTTCCCGTGGATGGAGAACATCCCTGAGCGTCTGGTACAGCGGCTGAGATGGACACAGGGCACATCGCCCAAAGTTCCATCCAGTGGGCCCATCATTGTCCTGCTCTATGCAGGCAAGGAAGACCCAACTTCCTTGGACAGCTGTCTTCATGCCAACTACCCACACCTTTCCAGCATGGTGGTGGCGGTAGACATCCTACGGTCTGGACCCAAAGGGGACCACGATATGCTCCAACCCGAGCTGTATGGAGCTCTTTGCACGGCAGCAAAGCAGGGCCGAGTGGTCTTCATTGGAGGAGGACCCAACTGCAGGACATGGTCCATCCTGCGCCACATACCAAAACCGGGGGCTCCCACCCCGGTGCGAGGGCGCACTCCAGAGACACTTTGGGGCCTTCCACACCTGGACCAGGCCGCCCAGACTCAACTTGATGATGACAGCATCCTCATTCTGAGACAGATGTACATCACCAGCCTGGCAAGGGCCTCACGAGCGGCGGTTTCTCTGCCAGGGCCCAGGTCCTTCCTGGAACACCCGGAGGACCCAGTGGTGAGCAGCTCGCTGCCCAAAGCCAAGGAATGCTCATCCTTCTGGATCACAGAGGAGGGGCAGCTTTGGATGGAGGAGAACTCCTTGACAGCAATCTCCTTCGACCAGTGCCGCCTGGGCCAGCTGGTCAAGAAGGCCACTACGCTGGCCACGGATCTCCCGATCCAGGACTGGGATCAAATGCGGTGCACGCATCAGTCACATGTGGGCACCAACGAGTCCTCGACTCTTAGCAGATACCCTTGGGATATGATGGCAGGCCTGGCCAAAGCCATCGCTGTGTCACTCGCAGCGCCGGGGCACATCCGGATCCCCTCACAATTTCCGGGAAACCCCAAGGAACCACCTAAGGGGCGGGGGTCGGACCCCCCGGAAGGCCATTCCCCCCGGGGAAAACGGGGGCCCAGTCAAGGAGGCGGTCCCTCCTCATCACACCAGGGCTCAAAGCCCGGAGGCAAGAACGCCCCGAAGCCCCGCCTGCACGGGCAGTTCCACCCTGAGGCAGACACCGTAAGCCCTCGTGGAACAATGAACCCAGACTTCCCATCTCCCATGCCCCCGATGGCCGGAGATGCGGAACAACTGGGGAAGGAGGGACAGGGGGACCAGGTCCTGGACCGCCCCGAATGCCTGCCCGCTTTCAGGGTCCCACACCTCACTGACCGGGTGGCGATTGTCCAATTGGGTTTCCGCTCACGCCCCCTGAGGGATGGGGGGCGAAAACCTTTTTCAGGGAGGCTCAACCCCCCTTTTCGGAGAATTTCCCCATTGGCTGATCATGACCCTTACCCGGCCCTGGATTGACAAGGTCCGAATGTCCCTGGCATCAGGTGCCACCACACACCCCTTCCAGGAAGCCGACCTCGAGGAGCTGCGGGCTATCCTAGGACCGAGGCACCTCCATGAACGATGCCCAGGACAACCCTTCCTCCTGGACTTAGTGTCGCACTTGGCATCCCTTTCAGGTGACCCTGATTGGGAGTTCCCCCTAACACTGAAAGAGGGGGTCCCCTTGGGAGTCTCGGACCCTACCTTGACCTCCCCGGGAGTTTGGCCCACTAAGGAGGAGCTTAAGGGAGAAGCCTGGCTGGGGGAAGATCCCCCCCCGCCAGTGGCTCATGATAACTACCCAACGGCTGAACTCTTTGCCAAGGAAATCGAATCAACCTTTTACGAGGAACGAGCCTTGGACATGGTGGACGGGCCCTTCACTCGCTCCGAGGCGGCAGAGAGGTGCCGCTGCAAACCGGAGGAACTTTGCCCGGGCCCCCTTGCAGGGATTGATGAGTCGGACAAGATCAGGACGATCTATGATGGCTCAAAAGGGGGAGCAAACGCACACATCCAGGCTCACACGGAGGAGAAGACCACCGCACCGATGGTTGGAGACTGCCTCCATGCCATCCACTGGCTCAGGACAGCGGCGGACCATCCTCATCTACTCCGAGCCCCATCCTCGGGCACTGATGAGGAACCTCGGGATGTTCACCAGCCGGTGCAGGAGCAGTCCTCAGGTGCCGAGGGCCCTGAGAGGGACCCCCACAGCACCAGCTTGCCCCCAGGTGCCGAGGGCCCTGATAGGGGCAGGCGGATGATGGAGACCTCCGGTGGCCTGGACGTCTCTCCGCGGTTCCCCCCCCCTCCGGGAAGGGGCCACTCCCAGGTGCCGAGGGCCCTGATAGGAGGGCCCCATTCCCCCCAACCCCCCCAGGCACGGAACGCCCTGGGGGGACAGACTCTTGTACTACATTTTTTTTTAGGTGGACTGGCACTTAGTTTTTGTGGACGACTACTGCTGGGTCCTCAGATGCAGCAGGGCGGACTGGGACGCCACAGCCATCCTGGCCACTCTTCTGGCGCTGGGAGTCCCGCTTTCTTGGAAGAAGACGGCGCTCTCCCCGGTCAATACCTGGTTGGGATTCGTGGTGGACCCAATCACGCCCTGTGTGCTGCTGGCTCCAGTCAAGCACGTCATAATCCTGGCCACTCTCAAACGGCTGGCCCAGGGGGACATCTTTACCAGCAAGGAGGTGGAACAAGCCCTGGGCCGGATTCAATGGGCTACTTCGGCGTGTCCATTGACGAAACCTTTCCTCCAGCCCTTTTGGAGCTGGAAGAAGGCCTGCACCACTTCGGGCAGGCCACCGAAGCTGGTTCGTGCTCTGGCCATCCTTCTGGGGAAGCTCTTCAACCAGAGGTTCCCACTGGCATCTCCATTTGCTCCCACACTTCCATGGACGGGGGCATCTGATGCGGGAGCTGGCAAACAGGCGGACCATGCATGGGTTGGTGGTTGGTGCTCGGACGTGCCCAACCCCGACAAGTCCCGAGTGAAGTGGTTCCAACACAGAATCACACCGGAGGGCGAGCCGTGGGCCTTCACTACTGGGGACCCGCAGCGGGCGATAGCGGCCTTGGAGCTCTTCGGCCTCCTCCTTTTGGTGAGGGCTGTTCTGCTTTGTGCAGCCGGCTCGGCTTCTCACACTAGGATTCTGGTTGCTAGTGATAACCAGGGAAACGTTTTCTCCCTGCTTAACGATTCCACTCGCAGGATGCCCAATGCGGCCATCCTCATGGAAATTGTGTTAACACTGCATGACCACCAGGTCATGTTAGGACCGTCGCATGTGAAGCGCGACTTTAACACATGGGCGGATGAACTTACTCATCCGGACCCGCAATTTCCGACTGAGAACCGGGTCTTCCCCTCAGTCGAAAGCGAATTGATCAAGCTGATCTTCGCTACTTTCCTTCCTCACCCATGATGCCGGGAGGGCATCCGGTGAGGTGGGAGGATTCCTCCCTCGCTGTGGGAGTGGCATCAATTCTACTCCCATCAGCTGCTGAGGGGAGCTGCCCAGTGGAGCTGGGCAATCCTCCCATTTTGGCACTAATCCTTCTGCGGCGTAAAGGATGCACCGTTTCGCGATTAAGGTACCAGTAGCACCAATGTGGTGCTTTGAAGAGTCTTATAGTTTTCCCTTGATGGTGTTAAAATTAACTTATCACTACTGGACATATTTTCATTTTTTCCAGGGGTCTTAGCCAAATGGAAGTGACTTGAAGGCAGATATATAGACCTTGCACCAGAGCGTCGGGGACGAGTTGCCTCGGGAACCCCCCCCCCCACCAGAGCAGCTTTGTCAAGGAAGACCTCCCCACTATGCCGCGCCCATTGAGCTATGGGTGGTTCCTAAAATGGAGTTCCTGCCTTCAATATATAACGGGTTTGCCGTTGTTTCCTTTTGACACCGCAAAAGCGTTCCTGGTTAGGATGCAGCCATCCCACATCTTGTGATTTGTGCAGGCTTTCTCGACTCAAGATCCTTTGTTGATTTAGAGTGCTGGGGACTCTGGTGAACATGTTTGTACTGCCTGAACACAGGCTGACCCATCCCTGTACACTGTCAAACACAGGCCAGCCTGTATGCGAAAATGGTTCGCGTGCGTCAAGCTTTTTTGTTTTTTGGTTTTACAGGGAAAGGTGATGGTACTCTGCAGTCAAGAGGAAAACCTTCATCCTTGTGGTGAATCCAGCAAAGCCATTTTGCAAGTATACTAGATTTTTTGTTGATTTCGTTTTCGTGGCTTTCGACTAGTTGCCGTTGCTCAACTGTTTTTGTGTTACACGTGTTTCTGGCTTTGTCCTGTGCTGTGTTCATGGGATTTCACCCCTCCCCTCCTCCCATACCCTTAGAGGCCTTAATGTGGCCTTATCAGGATCATATTGATTGTATATACCAGGGGGAAGGGGGTTGGATCACGAGGGCAAAGACACGCTGCTTAGCGGCCTGTTTCAGCTGAGTGGGTAGTAACCCCAAAAACAAAATCCCCCCCAGAGTTTCTCAAAATAGCCCCCCCTTTGTCTTTTGGCAGAACATGCTAAGCAAAGTGCGTGGAGCATGTACTCCATGATAGACCCTTACTGGCCAAAGAAAGCACGCCAAGCAAAGAGCACGACATGTTCGCTCCTCATGTGTAGCACCTTGACGGCCCTTTGCAGAAAAGTTCTCGAGTAGAGCATAACATGGACTGTCACGGTCAAGCGAACGCACTTCGCTGGTCTCCAATCATATTTTTTAGACCAGATATGGAACAGAGTCACTCAATATATATATATAATACTATATATAATATGCATATGTATACATATATATATATATATGTACCCCAGGTACGGGCCAAGTCATAAGACCCCCCAGCTTCATGAAAGGTTCTTCCGTGAGACCTACGTGGAGCGCCAGCCCGCGGAGAGTCAGAACGACCGCAACGACCGGGCCATCCGCCGGGTGGCGCATTGGTACCGGCGCCACATCGTGGGCCCAGAGGCGAGCTTCGGGACTTCGGCGCGCTCAAGAACTTGCGGGGGGGGGGGGGGGGAATGAGCTGAACGAGACCGGGTGGTGGCTTCGAAGGAAGCCGTAGGATGGATGGTTCAAAAGGGGTCATTCCATTTCTCATTCCCTGAGCTGAGGAAGAGCATGGGAATCCTCCAATCCCGAAAAAGCGAAGTTGAGCCGTGAGTTCCGATGTATATAACATGGTTGCCGTTGGGACACACTTTACATTTTTGCCTATTGTGGTTTAGTGGGAAATCCAACCACTTAACTGCTAAAATTTAAATTGTTGCTCCCCTTCCAACGTCAACCAAGTATAAGATGGAATTGTTTAGATCACGAAGAACATAGTGCCATAGTGGTAAACCAAAAGTTCTTGTCCTTCTTGGCCCCTCCGCGAGGGGCGGGAGATGGATTGGGACCCTCCAAGTCGTTCTGTGCTCATCAGCGCATTGGTGGCAACTATGTTTGAACACATGAGTCGGGCGCTGCGCAAACGACTAGGTCCCCCAGTAGTGCCCTTTTACCCTTCTTTGGGGGAGGGTTCCCCTACTAAAATAGACTACAGAAAAAAGGTACCCTTATTCTAACCTCTCTACTGGAGGACCTAGACTACCCTGTTTCCAACAGTCAAGTGGACAGCGGGCTCCCGACTTCATTTCGCATGATTGGAGGGAGAGTAGTTGTCCGGTGTTCTAAGATTTGAACGAAAGATTGGTTCTATTTCTAGATTGGTTTTATTTGTCCAAACCCCCATCAAGCCCAGCCGCTTTTGGAGCCCTTCCGAAAGGAAGCCAACCAGTTTTGACATTGCCCAACTGGACACACTTCCCGATTCGCTGACGCAAGTCAAGCGTGTAGGCTTCCTTCAGAATCATGCTCAAGCTGACCAGATTCGAAGTTTCGACTTGAAGCCGAGGATTGTGCACATGATTATGCGGTATGTTCCCGTTTTTTTTGTGGTGTAACACCTCCGCTTTCCCAGGCTTCCTGCGGGTTGCGACTCAGACTCGATGTGTTGCTTGCATGATCCAGATCGGAGCTAGCACGTTTCTGCTAGGTTGTTGGTCTTGTAGTTTCCCTGACGTCAAAGCGATGTGTTCAATTTCAGGCCGCTCTTCAGTTTTTCCCCAAAACAACTTCTCGCGTTTGGAGTTGCTGGTCTTTTTGAGCCGAACCCGATGGCCCGGGGCAAAATCTCCCAGACTTTGGGGAGGAACAACCAGTGAGCCGGCCACAACCTGAACTTTTTCCTGCAGGTTTCCATCCATTTGGGTGTGTAACCCCGATGTTGCGTGAACGATAAAACCACACACAGACGCACCGCAGCCCCCATTTTTAGAAGGCCCCCCGCCATTTTGGACCACGCCTTTGCCGGGTTTCCGTGGCCACAGGGCCACGGGGCCCGCGGGCCCCGGCTTTGCCCAACACCTCCCGCAGGTGCTGCTGCTGACGGACGACCGCGCCTGCCAGCAGAAGGCGCGCCAGGATGGCCTGGCGGCGCTTCGGGCGGCGGAGTTTGTGGAGCGTATGCGCCCCAAGCGCCTCAGAGAGATGGGCCTTGGGTTGATCTTGCTGAAAGGAATATGTTCATTATGTTGTTGAGGAATGTATAGTATATTTATTTATACTCCCTGGAGTTGGTTTTGAAGGGAATCCATCACTAATTGGACAATTGTTTCGCATGTTCTCCAGGGGGCTTCAGCAAATGGAGGTGATGTTGGACTCTCTTTAATGCTGCCCCCCTGAACAGTCACAGGATCCTGACTTAGGAAAACACCTTTCTACAAGAGAGGACCCTATCGTTAAAGGAGGTGCAGCATTCTATAGGGGTCATGATGGTTTCTTGGGGGGTAGAGTAAGGACTTGTTTTCACCTTTTTGACCATCTTAGCAAGTTCGTCAATAGGTGAAACGGGCGCTGCGCATGCCAAAGATGAACCTCCCCTTTGCGGGGAGGTTCACACCTTCTGCGACACCGTGGTATTCGGCAAAAAAACAAATCAATGGGTCCCGAAACGGCCAAATGGGTTTGCAGACTTCTAAATCTTCACCCTCAGGTTGTTCTCCGTTTGCCTTTTGGGAGGTCCCTTCCAACTGACCATTTGTTTTAGCTTTCGGGAAGCCACTCGTAGATTGATCCCACCTGGGAAGGAACAGGAACTTTTGTTCACAGGGTCCCCGACTAAAATTCCACACACCGCGGGGCTCGGAGTTGCTGAAAGTTGGGAACTTGTGGTGGTTGGTTTCCTCTTGATTTCCACTAGGGTGTGGCTCAAAATTAAACGATCGGAGGGGCAAACCGCAGATTTTGGTCCATGTTTCCACTTACCAGGGCAACCCATTTTGGAATTCCGGGTTTTTGAGCCACGGCCACTCGCCGCTAGCGATTTTGGGGGACCCGGACTTTGAGAAAAGCCACCGAGTTGTTTCTTATTTTTTTTCTTTTGAGGGCAATGCGTTTAGGTTGAATCAAAGGGAAACCAATTGAAAGTCCGCTGAATTTGAGAAGCACCTGAGATCTGGGTCAAGGATGGGTGATATCTCGTTTGCTTGTTTCACTTTTCCACTTGCTGTGATACCAAGGGCAATCCCCTTCAGCGGCAAGTATTCAGTTCCTGTCGAGTGAATGCTGTTGGCCATCAGACTCACCTTGGACATTCCAACATGAACGTGTGTCTTTTTGGATAGTACCCTTTGTGGGGTTGTTTTCACCACTTCAGGGGGGGACTAATGTTAAGAACCTCCCATGATCCAATTCTTCTTGGACACGAAGACTCTGGGAATTGCTGGCTCTCAAATGAAGTTGGATGGTGTTCGCAAGAAAATCAAGAAAGGTAGCCTCAAGGAGGCTTCAAGGAGGCTAGCTTGAGTTTGTCCTTGCGTTAGCAAGGCTAGACTGAGGGGGTCTGGACCCCCCCCCCTCCCGTCCCCCCCTTCCCCCCCTCCCTCCCCCGCTCCCTCCCCCCCTTCCTCATTCCTCCCCCCCCCCTTCCCCCCTCCCTGCCCCCTCCTTCGCCTGAGTGCCTGATTGGCAGCTTCCCGCTCTTTTCGCTCGCTTCGCTTCACACTTCGGTCCGCCTTTTCGCACCGTTTTGCTCGTCAAGTCACGGTGAACCTTGTCCCTTGCTCGCTTTGTCAGTGCCCAATTTACATGGTCAACAAGTGCTTCCCTTTTCGCGGAATGGAAATTGCCTCTTAACATAGTCAAGCTGCTAGCTCCATGCGCACCTGAATGGTGTTAGGGGGGCCACTTTTCAGCATCCTACCTTTCGTGTCACCCCTTCTCAAGTTTCCCAGATCCCGGTTGGCCTTATGGTAGGCAACCAGCCATTTCCGTTGGGTCTTTGAAGGGTGGTTCCCTCCCTGCTAAACATGGATCTGGGGTTTGGGAACCTGTTTTTGAGAGTTGCAGCCACCTGGACCTACCTATGTTACAGCTCATTTTGCACGGCAAACAACCTTGGGAATCCCATTATTTCCTTATTTCTTGTTTTTGAACTGTGATATTTGCAGCACCGGGCTCCGGCTTCTAGTTGGTTTCAACCCAAACTGGGGTCTCCAAAATGATGTTAAGTCATATTTTAGGGTAGCCTAAGTAAGAAGCAGACAACTCTGGGGGTTCATTCTCCAGTCTTTTCCATCATCCTTCTTGTCAAAAAAAAAGATCGCTGTTTCCCTGTTCTGCTGGTTCTCTGGAAAGATTCGGATCCCTCATAATGGTTGGGGGTGTCCCCTAGAATACCTCCCACCAACTAACATGGGTTTGTGCAAAAAGGCCCAAGAGGAAAGTAGTCTTTGTACAGGCGTCTCTGCACACACCCATGTTAGCTGGTGGGCAGAATCAGACCTTTGGTGCATGTTGCTTGGATGTTAGGATTTTGACTTTTTGCCAACGAATGGGGTTCTCCATTGAACCGCTAAAAGTCAAACTTTTAGCAGCGAGACAACTCAGATTTTCTGTGTACCCAAAGCCAAGAACCAGCGGTTTCCCGAGCCTAGCGCTACCTGAGGTTCCCAGAGGCGGGCGAGAAGCTGGCGCTGAGGGACGAGGAGGCAAGCGCAGATGGGTCCCATGAGCCACCAGTTTTTGGTTCCATTGGGGTTTTGACTTGGCGCGTTTGAAGAGTGGGGACGGGGTTCCAAGACTTTAGGGTTTAGGGTTTGACTTGGCCAGGTTTGGGGTTCCATGGGGGACCTAGTGAATCTCGGAAGTCTGATGTCCCAAGGGTTTGTTTGGGGCCAAACAAATTAAATCGCCACTCCCCAAAGGAGCGGAAGGGTTCCCGAGAAAATGGACAACGAGCAAAGCGTGCTCCTTTTTCCGAAAAAGCCACAGAGCAGGTGGTAAAGTTGCGTGCGAATTAGATGTGGGTGATGTCCAGATTATTGAGCAACCGATATTCTGTTTAGAATTGCCACCAACATGTGTCACCCCGAAAAGTTCTCAACCCACAGAGCCCCCCAAACAAAACAGACGTGTGGGTGGCTCGTCCTTTCTTTAGGGGTACCATTTTGGGGGTGACCACGTGGAAAACCACATGGTTTTTTTGCCGGAGGGGTCCCCAATTTTGAGACATACCTTGGTGGCTCCCAGCCATCCCCTTAGCTTTTTAGGTGTTTAGGGTTTAGTGGTATCTTCCATTGAACCCACAAGTTAAACTTTTAGCAGGGGATCTGAGGGCAGCCCAGATACCATAGGTGTCCTTTTGATCGGTTAGTTTGGTTAAAAATACAAGGGTTCCACTGGGTTTAGATGGGTTTGATTCCATCCAGAAGAACCCTATCTATTTGTCCAAAAGGACACCTATGCCATGCCACCTTTCAGTGACCTGGACATCCGCCAAGTTCAGGAGGACGCATCTGCCACGCCTGTCCCGACGCCCCGGGGGCAGAAGAGGAAAGACTTCACGCGCTTCGGCCTCGAAAGCGCCTAAAGCACGTTCTTATGTTGTTGGAAGTTCAAATCTCATTTTGGAAATTCACATCTCATTTTTGAGAGTTTTTTGGGTCATGTTGAGCATGCTTTCCCTTTGCGTTGATTTGTAAAGTGGCCATGTGGGCATGTGTGTGTGTGTGTGTGCGTGAGTGTGTATGAGCGCGTGTGTTTGTGTTGTTTGAGGAAACAGGTTTTGGGGTGTTGGTTGAAAGGGATGCCGAAAGGCAAACCACGATGTTGGAGGGTTCCCCTATTTTGACACATACTCATTGGTTTACCTATAGACTATTAAACAAATACGGGAAATCACACTGCGAACGCATCTAACCGGGTTGAATCTGAGGAGGAATCCCGCAAAAAACATGGACCCGTGAGCCCCCAAGAGTGGGCCACTCCGGGCAAGCTGTTTGAAGTGCCCAAGTGAGCCAACCCACTGGCAGAATCTCGGCTCTGGCATGAACGGTGGCTCGGTATGGCAAAACTAAACATTCGCTTCATGTTTCTTATGTTCCCTTGTTGGCTGTAAAGGGATCTGATCACTAAATATGGTTATTTTTCCAGGGGGCGAAAAAGGAAATGGAAGAACCAACTCCAATCTAGCAAAGCCAAGGCCCAGCTACTCAGTGCACTCGCCCTTTTGCCCTTTGGCCCTTTTGCTTGGTGGCTGCTCACTAAACCGGCCATCCCCATTGTGCGGGGTTCCCTTTTTCTACCCGGGTCACCGAACAAAGTGGGAAAACGCCAGCCCTTTGGAAACAACTTGCCCCAACCGTTTACTCCCATGCAAGGTAGCTTCCTTTGCGTTGAAGTTGTCGTGTCGGCAGGTTGGTCGCAAGGCACTAGACACACCCAGTCCCAAGTGCCAATCCCAGGCCCGATGCCGGATATGCAAGTGAATAGCCTATGTCGATCAAAGCCCAGCACCCAGCACAGACTTGGTATGCTTCCATGTGGTTTGGCCACAAAACCCAGGTTTAGTAAGCCCAGGTCGATGAGGGCAAGGAGTGTCCCATTTCAAAGGCAATCTTTCACTTGTGGGCTAAACACAACACTATTGATCATCGACATAGTATATTGATATGGGGTTGACACGTTTTCCCAATGTCTTGTGCTTGCTACCTGCAAGAATCTCCTGGAATCCCCTCAACAACCTGCCCAACACCACCAACCGCCCAGGGTTGGCGGATTGACTCCATACTTCTTGAGGCATGGACGTTTAGACTTGACGTTGGAAGCTTTTACTCCATGTGTCCTGCCCAAGTCAAACCTTTAGGGGACCAACAAAGCACGAGATCTTGCTGGGGCCCAAACCGCCGTTCCGAGGACGGTGCCGGGCTCCGTGTACCCAGCGCACTTGAAGGGCAGCGAGGTGGAGAAGGGCCTCAAGGAGCGGAAGCTCTTCCAAGGGGTGCTCCGGATGCACATGAACACCTGCCTGCAGCTTGGCAAAGCAAAGACCATGGATCATCGTCATGGAAAAGCCTCATGTTTTTTGTTTGTTTTTGTTCCACGTCGATGAGTTTTATGTCCGGTTGACATTGGCTGCAGTCTGGCTTTCGCGCCCAAGCTTTCAGACTCCTTTGAGGAGCTTTCGCCCTCCAGCCCTCCAGTTGGATTGCCAGAACTGGCGCTGGATCCAACTCACACAGGGGTAGCGACCTTTTGTAGACTGGGCTGCAGTTTGTTGGCAAGGCCCAAAGCTGTTTGCAGGGCTCGGCATTGCAGGAGACACACCCACTGGACTGATCAGCTTGCCAAACCCTGCTGACGCCCGACGGCCAGCGATCAAGATACGAATGTTTTCGGATAAAAGAAGTAGGGGGTGTCTTCTTTTGGAGGGTGTTTTTTTTGGGGTGGTCAAAATGGACAAGTCAGGAAATAAACACAATGTTGTGTGTATCCTCTCAAAGTCTGACCCAACCTTTTGCAAAAGTCTTCGGAACCGGGGAAAAAGCCGAGGCACGGCAGCGTCACGTGCGGCGGCACGGAGGAGATGGAGGCGAGTGGGGAGATTTTCGTTGAGCCATCCAAAAGGTTTCTAACCTAGGTCCCCCAGTAGTGCCCTTTTACCCTTTTTGGGGGGAGGGTTCCCCTACTAAAATAGACTACAGAAAAAGGGTGCCCTTATTCTAACCTCTCTACTGGAGGACCTAGTAACAATGACAAAAGGTTTTCCAAAGCCCCGATGTGCCCGACACTAGGTTTTGAAGAGGCCAATGCACCCATCCATTTGTTCTTCACACCCCTTATCGCACGGACACAACTTTAGGAGGGATAGTGTGAAGAGAAGGTGAATAGGTGGGTCACTTTTCTCTTGCCTCTCACGAATCCTCACCACCTATCGGTAAACTCTGGTAATTCGTTTGCACTGGCGCTTGCTTCCGCAGACTGCATCCTAGCCAATCACATGCCAGCCTGTAGAAGTCTACGAACCAGCTACTTCATATTTGTTGTTCTCAGCATGGTTATGCATAGATTGACAGATCCATTGGGATTCTCGTTCTTGCCTTCATTGATTCATGCGCTCATGCCAAACAAATCATGCATACATCCCTTTAAAGTCAAACATACACCCCTCTAGTCTAGGCTATGTCAATCCCTTAAACTTTGCTCAGGCCGCGGGCAGTGTGATTGTGGCCCGTTTTTGTTTTTTTTCCCACCCGACAGGAAGGGGTTGTTAGATTTTAGATTGGAATCGGAGTTTGCGATGCTTCTACACCACGCCCCCACCCAGTGTCCCGCCAGAGCAGCTCTCCAGTGGATCCCGCCAAGTATCCCGCCAGAGCAGCTCGCCAGTGGATCCCGCCGAGTATCCCGCCAGAGCTGCTCGCCAGTGGATCCCGCCCAGTATCCCGCCAGAGCTGCTCGCCAGTGGATCCTGCCGGGTATCGCGCCAGAGCCCGCCAGAGCGGCCCGCCAGTGGATGCCGTCGAGTATCCCGCCAGAGCAGCTTGCCACATCCCAGAGTAGCTCGCCAGTGGATCCCGCCAAGTATCCGGCCAGTATCGAGCAGGAGCGGCTCGCCAGTATTCGCCAGTGCATCCCGCCAGTATCCCGCCAGAGCAGCTTGCCAGTCTGGGTTTGCTTAATGTCCCGCCCGGCGCACTGTTGGGTTTACATTTCATGTTGGTGTCTGCGTGCTTTGAGTGTACCCTGAGGCTCGGAAACGGTGATGCTTTTGTGTTGGTTCGGGTTGTGAATAAGCAACTTTGTTTAATCCCCCGTCGGGCTTTTTTTTGGAAGGGGCTTGGCTTTTGTTAACGGGTCCGATGTTTGAGTTCTCGAGATCGGCCCGCAGACAAGTGGAGTTTGACACACAGACAGGCGGATAAGGCCCCAAGCCACTCGAAAACCATGCTTGAATTCACACAACCGTGTTCACGGTCGTAAGCTCGTGAGTGTGGAGGGTGGGGGTTGCTCGAAGCGAAGTATTATTTGTGCTTCGCAAGTTTTTTGAGGTTTTCGGGTACTACTCAATTGTGCGTATCTTCCAGGATTTTGAGGGGCAGACCCCCCAAAATGGCCGCGGCGCCTTAATTAAGGGCTGCGGACCAGGGCCTAGTGCAACTCAGGACAAGCTGGGTGTTCCGGAAAAGCTTCGGGGAATGCTGCAAAGCGCGAACGTCACACACTTGCCGCGCGGTGCTTGGCCCCTCCTCTTCTTTGTTTTCTCCAGGTCGTGTCATTGACATGTCCGACACGCCGAACAATTTGTGCGGACATTGTTTTTGTTGGAGTTTGTTTAGCAAGTCAGCATTGAAGTGTTGTGTTCGTCGCAGTATGTAAGAAACAGAAGGCCTCTCCAAAGATAATGAACTCCTTTTCCGCTAACATGGAGCCTTGCACAGAAGTACCCCAACAACACTCGTCCTTTCCCTGTGGCGGGTATAAAGACATATTCAGTATGCTTCAAGTGTCGGTCATTCGTATCTCTCCCGCTTCATCGCCAATTGTTTCGGGCCAAAGTGGCAAAGAGGAAAAATGCCAATCTCTTTTTGGTGCACCATGTTCTTCTGGAAATCACGCACCTTCTGCCCCTATGCTCGTGGCTTCCATTTAGCAAATCCCCACAACCGAAGCTTCTCCAATTCTCGTGCCTTCTCTGGGAGTGTTCTCCAAGACTTAAATTATTCTACTTTTCAGGGTAGCCGAAGTAGGAAGCAGCATCTTGGCAAGATGAAACCATGATTCTCTGTGTTAACCCAGATGGGTGTGTCTACAAATAGGAGAGTGCCCCTTTTTGGGTGGTGTGGAAGGGAAACCAACAGGAAACCACCTGGGAAATCCGTGAATACTTTGAGAGTTTGGCGTCCCCAATTTTGAGAAACACCCAGATTCGTGCGCCATTCCCAGCTGGGTGTGTCTCCAAATAGGAATAATGGCCCCTTTTTGGATGAGAAGCTCCCAATTTTGAGAAACACCCACATATCAGAAAATAGGAAATACCCCTTTTTGGGATGGTGTAGGGCAACCACCAGGAAAACCACCTGGAGGGGTCGTCTCGGTAGGTCTCCGGGCGCCTGGCGCTGAACCGCGCGATCGACGGGGACATTGTGGTCGTGGAGCGCCTCCGCGTCCGAAAGCGAACCGGGGGATGGCTGCGGAAACGAAGGATGTGGCTGGGTTTTTTGAGAAGAAAAAACAGCGACGGCTGAAAAGAATGGTTGGAATCAACCCAAAGAATGATATGGCTGTGGTGGTCAAAACCAATGGTAATTGCCACTTTGAGGTAGGTGAATTCACCACCCATTTTAGGCTTTATTTTAGTGGGGATTGGGGGTTCGGGCGGGGCTGTGGTTGTCAAAATTAGCCAGGAGGGGTTACGCGGGTTTTGGTCCATGTTTCCTTTACCAGGGTTACCATTTTGGGGTTACCCTATTCTAGTGCTACCTTCCATTTCCATTAATCCAGGGATTCTTCTTTCTCGAAAACCACCAAAAACCCAGGGGAAATGGCTGGGTTTTTGAAAAACAAACGATGGCTGAAAAGAATGGTTGGAATCGACCCCTAGAGATATTGCTGTGGTTGTGAAAGCCAATGAGATACCACTTTGAATTCACCACCCATTTTAGTCTATTTTAGTGGGGATTGGGATGTTCACTGGGGGTACGGGATTTTGACCCATGGCCATTTGTTTGTGGATGTAAATCGGGACCCCCATCAAAGGTGGTTGGTGGACATGATTCTCCACCGAAATGGTGTCCACGAAAGGGTTCCCAATTTAGATTAATAGCCCTATACCTGCACGTTGCGATCCCCTTGGTTCATCTGGACCGCTTAGCCGTTGTGGTTTGGGTCCTCGCCCCAAGTTGCATTCACTGACTTGCAAGACCATGCAGCGAAATCAAACTCCCCATGGCTGGTTCAAACAACACTTATTTCTATTCTCAGCACCAAGTCCCACCTTCAAGTCTCAAGCCCCACCTCAAGTCCCACCTTCAAGTCTCAAGCCCACCTCAAGCCCCACCTTCAAGTCTCACGTCCCACCTTCAAGCCTTAAATGCTCTTTAAGGAATTTTCTTTCAGGCCTGTTTTGTGAGGCCCTTCACCTTCTCAAACAGGCCCCTGCGCCGTGCGAAAGAAAACCGTCCAAGTCCAGGCGCCTGGAGGACGCGGAGAGCTTGGAGCGTGCGGACAAGAGGCTGCGCCGGGAGGTGGCGGAGGAGGATTTCGGGGCCACCCAAAAGGCGCGGGGGGGGGGGAGGTGGGATGTGGGTGGGGGGGTGGGGGGGTGAGGGGGTGGGGGATGTGGGGTAAGGGATGTGGTGGGGGATGTGGGGGTGTGGGATGTGGGGTGGGGGGGTGGGCGGGTGTGCTGGGATGGGGTGCAGCATAGGATGGGGTGGGGGATGCGGGGTGGGCAGAGAGCTGACATATTGCAGGCCTGACACAGGTCCTTGGGCCGTCAGCTTTCGGTGTGGACCAAAGCTTTCACGCTGTCAGATGGGTCAAATCCTGGTAGTACCAGGATTTGTGCTTTCCATTTACGGCAACTCATGTTTGGGAACCTATTTTTGACCCACTGTCAGATCTTGGCGTCTCTTCCCCGCCGAGGGGACTGTGAGCCGGATTTTTTATTGTACCAAAATTGGGATGTTTCCAAGCACCTGTTAGCTAAAGAAGTGGTTTCGAGCTAACCTCCGCGTGTCCACCATACCAGGCTTTCGGACCTCTCATGTTTTCCCATTTTGCGTTGCCAGGCTCACTAGTCTTACTAAACATGGATGTTCCAGATCCTCCATGTCGGCGTGTCATTCTTTGGGGACCCACCAAACTGCTGGTTTCCGTTTGAGCCCCCCCTCCCCCCAGAAAGAAAAGCTGAACCGCCCACGACGGGGCCCGTTGTCATCTGGACGCCAGGGTGATCGATCGATGCGAGGCGCCCTCCGCGACGGACACCCTCAAGGAAGGCGCGGCGGCTCCGTCCTCGGAGCGCGCCAAGGGCCGCATCGTGCCGTGGCCAAGAAGAGAACGGCCAGCCATACCCTGGAAGGGTGGCCAAATCAAGGGTGAGTGTAAGCTGTAAGCTGTATGGCCAATTTGCTTGGGTCCTGGGATGTTTTTTGTGGGGGGAAATGGCCCGTGTAAACTGTACTTCTGATTGGCTGGATCCTTGGACTTTGGTATTTGGGAACCAGACACGCAAAGAAGTTTGCAGCGGGGTCAACAGCAACCAAGGTTTGGCATTGCCTCCAACAGACGGCACTACGCCACCAGTGCCCAAAAGTGCTTTGTTTGAGGAACCCAGAGGAGAGATCCCGAGATTCCGATTGTGCCTGCAAAATGGTCATAGGAAAATCTGCTCGACCTCGAGCTGGAGCTGCCACCGTATTCGTGTAGTATCTTGTACCGACAACTTGAAGAACCTTAGCTAGACTGAAATAAGGTTAGACTCAAATTCACAGTCTGAGAGGGATTCTCACGACTGACCCACTGAACATGCACCCTTCCCGTTTTTAATCGAAGCAGTTCTTCTTCACTCATGGCCACTTTGGCGCCTATTGTTTTGGCTGTCCATTATGTTGAAGGAGTGTCTTTTGTCCATGTTGTTCGCTGTTTTCCACGGAACAGACCCATGGGGCATCAACCTTAAACCGGCGAAACCGGGTTCAAGCTTTTTGAGACACCCCCTTTCTGAAGGGCCCTTCCAGGCCTTTGACTTTCCGGCATGAAATGTTCTCAGACCAAGGTGGGCATCATCAAGCGGAACTGGCGTGAGTATTGCGGCACGCTGCGGCCTCTTCATGCTGAGCGGCAGCAGGACATCGTTTAAGAATGATTTTTCACTGGGTGGCTTGTAGCAGACCATGCCAGTCAAATGAATAATCATGGTCTCCCTTTGTTATGTATATATATATATATATATTAATATATATATACACATAAGATCGGTGTTTAGAATTTAATGGGGGATCCCTCTTTCAGCTCATTGCAAGACAAGTCGATGGCATCCCGAGAGCCGCTTCCATGCTCCAACTGATTCGTTCAATATCAGTCCCCCGAGGGGAGGGGGGGGGGGGGAAAAACGGATTCTTTCCATGCCCTTACCACGTGAAACTAGGTGCCCCAGTAGTGCCCTTTTACCGTTTCTTTTTTTTGGGGAAAAAGTTGGTACACTTACTGGAGGACCTAGGAAATGTTTGGTTTTACGTTGGTCCCCTCAGAAAAAAATGTAAAAAAGAAGAAAAAAAGAAAACGGCGCCCTAGCTTGGCGCAGACGCAGCGTAAGACGCAGCGTAAGAAGCTGAGCAGGAGACTGGGCCGGACAACTACAACAAGTCGGACCGCATCTTCATTCCCACTGACGCGAGGCTTCCGAACATCATGATCAAGACCCGGCACTCCACGAACCTGGACACTTCCCCAGAAATAGTTGTTTTTTCATTTTTCCGGCTGTTTTGGTTTTCCCTTGGTTTTCCACCGGGCAAAACAGATCATGTTTTTGCTGGGGTCCTAATTCCGGTCTAGGAAAATAAACGCATCGTGGTGGTGCTGGACGGCTGGGACCGGTTCAGCCACTACCCTTCTGGACATTGGACGAAGATTCTGGGCCAGGTGGGCGACCGCAACATCGAGAGCATGGTGATCCTTCATGAGCCCTTGCCTTAGGCCCAGACTGATCTTTGGTGCATCTTGCTTGGATGTTGGACTTTAGCTTTCTGCCAACTAATGGGTTTTCCATGAAACCTCTAAAAGTTGAACTTTTAGCAGGGGAGCAGAAAGCAACCGAGTGATGCTGCCGCATGGTGATCTGTTGAAAAGTGTGTGCCGCTTTTTGATCTCAACTGCCAAACTCTGCGGTGCCTTTTGTTCCGCTTGTTTCGAGAGGGGGCGCCCTTGCTTCCATGCGCATACGCACGTCGTGCGTGCGTATATACAATGAGCCTCTTGAGGCAAGGTGTAACAACCAGAACAGCTTTCTTGTGCCAATCGGATAGACGGAGAGCTTTGGATTCCGCATACGCACGTCGTGCGTGCGTACACAAAGAGCCACGGGAGGCAGGGAGAAACAACTAGAACAGCTTTCTTGTGCCAATCGGATAGACGGAGAGCTTTGGATTCCGCATACGCACGTCGTGCGTGCGTGCCACAAGAGGCGTAGGAGGGGGGAAACTGATTGAAAGCTAAAGCTGAATGGCGGAATGTTGGTGACTTGCGCATGCGCCAGACCAACCAGCAACCTACACAAAATACTTATACCATGCAGGGCAATAGCAGTAGGATTATTGCGGCATTGAACATATTATACATCTGCCACTTCTGCTTTAGCGCTTGCTTCCCTGTCCGCTTTTTGTCGACTTTGTACAGGTTTCCTCACGTAAATAAGCTGACCATGCCACCTCATTCGACTGCCTGGCTCTGAATCCTTTCCCCTTCTGACTCACGCATTCCCAATTCCTTACGCCTGCCTCAATTCCGCCTGACTCCTTTCCGACTCCTCCCTCCAACTCTCCCTGATCTCATAAAATTCCCAGGCAACTGATAATCTATTGCGGCTTTGGATAATTATCCTTTTTGTGCGAGGGAGATCGGCTGCGTTTGGTTTCACACAAGTGTCCGCGTTTAGTTTGACGGCTCTTTGATATGTGTTAGTTCTGTTCTGTTCGTTCCTGTTAGAAAACAATCCAAACTACGTGGGCAATGTAGTCGTGTTCCGTCTGAAGCACTGTTCATACTTTGAGATTGGTCTGAATTTTCATTGGCGGCCCTTTGGTTCGCATCATTTAGGTTGGGATTGTTTGAGAGGGATCCTCCTGAAATTCATAAGCAGATCTGAACACGTACACCTGATATGGAACCCACCATTTTCTCTGGGGAAATCAGTCTTCAGGCCTCCCTTTGTCATTTTCCATGGGAGGTAGTGATGTTGGCTTCAATCATGACTGACTTTGCTTATGGCTAATTTTGCTTGGCCCTCAATGTGATGTAGGCCCTTAGACAAGCACCTTCCAATCATTTCGGCCCACAGTTTGCAAGTGCGTCCATCATCCGGGCGTGGGTCAAAAAAGGGTAACCGCAAAATAGAACCTCGGGAAATGGAACGAGGTCCAATTCCTTTTGGTTGAATTTTAAATTTAGACTGGTATTGTTCCATGTAGGGCGACCCATCGATTTTTACCAGTTTAGGACAGCCATGTGGATGGACAGAATCCTGCACCGCCCAAAAAACCCTGGAATGATGTGATTCCCCTGCACATACCAAAAAACGTTATGGCTTCAGCCATGGTTTCCAGGTCGTGCGAACTGGATTTGTCTATGTCCCCCAGCTAGGTGCCCTTCTCTCCCCTTTTTTGGGTGGAGGCCTACTAAGATAGACGTCCTGGAAAAAAAGGGTTACCCTTACTGGCCCTTACTCTAACCTCCAAAACTGGAGGACCTAGCTTTTGTCCACCTGGCCATGGTTCAAAACCAATGGGATCCCATTTTGGGGTGTTCGGTGCACCACCCATTTTTTAGAACCTATTTGAGTGGTTGGATTGAATCGGATGTTCACTGGGGGTACGATTTGGGTTTTGACCGATGGACCACACTTTTTCCTGTGCAGATTCGGTGGGTGGGAGGCGGAAAACATATTGTTGTCTACTCTAGTCTTGTGAAAGCGTGGTGTCTTTTTTTTGCAGCCCCCTCCCCCCTCAAAGCCGTGTGATCTTCTTGATGCAAGTCATGGCACCTAAGAAACCCTGGAACCATGATTCCCCTGTAAATACCGACAAGCACTTATTTGGCTGCGGCTCAAAAGACCGGTACCAAAATGGTAAGAGGAAACATGGACAAAAACCTGTGGTTTGCCCCTCCTGTTTAATTTTGAGCCACCGCCATTTCCCATGGTTTCCAAGTGGTGCGAAATGGATTTCGTCCATCCACATGGCCCCCGCTTTTGCGCGCTCGTCCGTGCGTCTTTGCGTCGCTGAGGCACGGCGTCATCACCCGGGAGTTCAGCGAGGCGGTGTATCGCTGTCTGCCCGCCGCGCATTGGCAGCCGGCCGCGGCGGATCTCAAAGGCAGCGCCCCGGATGCGAAAGGGAAAAAGCAAAAACAACCGAAAGGCCCGCGGGGGGGGCGTCGATGGGATTGTTTTTCCCCCAAAAATCACCGCCATCCGCGGGATATAGGCGCGTCGTCCAAAGTCTTCGGGGCGATTTCCCGTCCCAAGTTTCGGGGGCAAGTTCCTGCCACCCGTCCGGTATTCGCGAACATTCCCAAAAAGGGCCGGGGGATCGAGGCGTCGTAACCCGTTTTTGGGGACAATAAATCCCACCACCCCTCCAGTTTTTTTTGGTTTTAGGGGTCAGGCGTTTTTGAGGGGTTGGCGAATATATCCAAGATAAAGGGAATTCCATTCGTTCCGGGAGATGTCCATGAATTTGGGGCTAATACAGTATTTGTTTTATGGGTCTGTCGTTGTTTTGGTTGGGTTCCCAACTGCTTGGGTGGTTTTGAAGGGAAACCAGAAGGAAACCCAAACCATTTTGGGAGTACAAACTTAAGAGGACGAGCCACCCATATTGATTTTTCAGGGTTTGTGGGAGTTTGATTTCTGTATGAGGTTTGATTTGAGCTCGATCCTTTTAGTGCCCGGGGGACAATCCCCTAAATGTCCAAAGGGTCCCGAATTGAAGTTCATCTCCCTTTGGAGGGGACTGGAACCCCCCCCCCCCTTCCCCGGTGCATGGTTGTGGACATTATGGGTTTGAGGGCCGGCCCCTTTTTTTGGTGATGCACCCTGTTGCAGAAGTCGATGCGTTAGTGTGTCAACGTGTGTGTTCCGTTGGGGTTCAACTTCCTAGTCGGAGCGATCTCGAGATCGTCTATGTCTGCACCTACGGGAGTTCCCCTCAAAGTAATCATGGGAGCCAAGTACTTCGGTATCGCAGAAAGGCAACCATGGAGGGGCGTCCCCCCAAAATCAAGGATGAACCACAAGAGATGCCCAGTTTACCATTCCACTGAATGTCTGATTTGACTCAGACTTCAGACTCTGTCTTGAACCCCGGAAAGTCCAATTTCTGGGATTGAGGTCCACGAACCACGAGTTTTGACACATGTCCTGTTGCCTACTCAAAGAGACCACAAGTGGATGCTGTCCCCATTCCTAAATAGAAGGGGATGGAATTTGGTGCACACCCGTGCAGGCTTCCCTGTCAACACATTGCCCTGATTGTTCAACACGGCCAGACCAAGGGGATCGCATGAGATCAGTCACAATGAGGCTCTCGCTTAGTTGGAGGTCTCTTAGTCCCGATTGGCGTCCGATGGGACGCCAAGCGAATCAAGCTGCGAACGGTTAAGTTAGTACCAGGTCCCCCAGTAGTGCCCTTTTACCCTTTTTTGGGGGAGGGTTCCCCTACTAAAATTGACTACAGAAAAAAGGGTACCCTTATTCTAACCTCTCTAGAGGACCTAGAGTAGTTTCCAAATAGGATGCTCCGGTTTCAGCCCAGGAGAGGATTTGCGGAAGGTCTGCATTTGCTCCGTGGACCCGCCTGGCTGCGCCCGGGATGCAAGCACACGTTTGGGCGAGAACGGCGGTTGGGGCTGCGTGCCCCGGTGATGATTTTCAGTTTGGATTTGATACTGTGGATGGACGAATCCTGCACCACCTAAGAAGCCCTGGAATGTTGATTGCCCTGTAAATACCAACCAACCATGGTGTCTCATGGTTGCTTAGGTGGTGCAGGATTTTGTCCATCCACAGTAGGTTGCTTGCCCTTCTTTCATGGACGAAAGCACGGTGATTTGCTCATCCAGAATTCTCCCCTTCAGAAACCATGGGACCTTGGTCCCTTTGAACAACTTGTCCCCAAGAAACATAGACACGTGCACCGGATTTGCAGACTGTGGCAGCAAGGATGCTGACACCAAGTGCTCATCATTTCGTCTGCCTGAAGGGGTCTTATTGTGGTACTCAGCGATTGGACGATATCCAAGCTTTTCCCAACAGGGCCAGCATCGAGTGACTGGACACTTGAAGCACGAGGTACCTTTGTGATATTTCAGCATCAAGCAATCGGCGGAATCACGGCTTGGCTGGGAGACTGGCCTGAGGACCCATGTCTAGGCCATATCTAGCCATGGCGTTCTCTTGTTTGCCGCATGTGGTATAGATAATTGTGTGGCCACTTCGACTTCTAGATGCATGGATTGCCACTTTTGGATGCCGATACAAGGATGGATGTTATAGAAAACAACATAAACAACTCAGCCAAGGAAGCAACACAACCAACAACCAACAGCAAACCACACCACACACCAACTCAAAGACACGCACAGACACCTGGGTGTGTCTTTTTGTAGGGCGCCTGGAGAAATGGCGGCTTTCCTTTTGGGTTTCCTTTCAACCAACCCCAAAAGGGTACCACCCAAAAAACACACCCACACAGAGAGTCTGGACACCGCGTGCAATCGCTTGCTTGCCGGTCAGGCAAGGACATCGATGACGCGGTGTCGTGCGAGCCCTTGGCGAATGGCAACTTTCGGGTGCGGAGGCCTAGTGCACTGGTGAAATGACGAGGTCAGCTTGGTTGGACAGTTTCAGTTTGTTCGACAGTAGATGGTATTGGTTTGAGTTTGGTTTTCTACTTGTTTTCTACTGACCTAGGCGCATTGCCAGTCATATCTGGCAATATATGGGTGTGTCTCTCTCTTTTTTAGGGGGACCCTTTTGGGGTTGGTTTAAGCGAGAAGCAAGAGGAACACCGAAGCCCTCTTCTTTGGGGGGGGTCCTCTACAACAAGTCATAGCTATATAGATCTGTTTGAAATGGCTCCCGACCTGGGACAAGCTGAGACTTGCTGCCCAAGCATCAAGAGGGGAAGTCGTGAAATGTTTATAGACAGGTGAGGGGGGACAAGCGAAGGCTGTCGGTTCCTCCATTTCCCTTGTTGGAACCTCCAAAAGTGTCAGTTCCAGTGGAAGCCGCAAGCAAAAAAAACTTCTTTTGGAGGAGGCATGCTTCTACATGAAGGTGTTTTCTTCTTTGCAAAGCGCAGCTGGCATTTTCAGATGGGATGAAACCGTGCTCTTCAGCCCCACAGACGGGCCAGTCACGAGGGCCTTTCCCAGGTCGGAGTCCACATCGCGGATGTCACCCACTTTGTGCACCCCGACACCGCCATTGACCGCGAGGCTGCAGAGAGATGCACCACAGCGCCTCGGCATTGTCCTCTGTGACTGTTGTTCGACGATTTGGGTGTGACGTTTTTTTAGGGGGTGTTGTTTTTGTGGTTTTCAAGGGAAAACAACAGAACAGTACCATGTGGGGGGTCCCCTAAAAAAAGACACACGCATCTGACTATGTCTTGTCCTTGTTCTCTTTCTCCGAGCCCAAGTCAAGTATGATTTATTTGCAATCACCGCAGAAGCTTGAACATGCAGTACAAAAAAAGCCGCGTGAAACCAAACACAGGCAAGCGGTCTAGGGCGCAACAGTTTGCCTCCAATTTCACAAGGGACTTTCCCACAGGTTTGGAGGCTGTCCACATCGCCGTTCCGCAAATAGCTGTGTTTTTTCAAGCCATTGCCAAGAAGGACAACTCAGAGTGTGCAAAATTGTCAGCAACTACGCTGCTTCAACCTTTCCACACCTTTCAGCACACACCAACCTCCACACACAACCCACCCACTCCCACCCCACTCCCACCCCACCCCCACCCAACCCCCCACCCACCCCACCCCCCACCCCATACCACACCAGCACCCCAGACCCCACCCACCCCAGCACCCCAGCCCCCACCCCACCCCCCATCCCAGGCCCCACCCCACCCCTCAGCCCACACCCCTCCCAGAAATCCAACACTGCCAGCGAGGTGTACCTCGTAGAGCGGCGCACGGACATGCTTCCGGGTGCCTCGCCTCAGCTCGAGTCGCTTTTTTTTTTCAAGTTTGGCGAGAGTCGAGTCGTTTTTTGTTTCTGTTTTTCTTCATTTTTTGTTCTCTTGCTTTTGTTTTTAAATTAAAGACCCGTCTTTTCAGCTCACCTCTTGTTTTGGATGGTTTGTGCTTTGGTTGAGGAGGGGAAGCCCCCATTCAGCATCAAGAGCCGGGGTTCAAGTTCAAATGAGCCATGAATCCAATGGCCCATTTAATCCCTGCCCACTAAGAATAAAGTCGTTCCCCTAGGACTAAGCAACGGATGTTCAACACCCCAAAAGCCCAGACTAACATTTTGAATAGGCCAACTCCGAAGCAATGTGGGTCTTTGGACCAAGGGTTGGCCCCTTGGGGGCCCGTCGGCTTGTTCGAGCCCGGATGTGAAAAGGACACTTAGTTGATTCGAGCGAGACAAGATGGCTGTAGCCTCATGTTCTGGTAAGAATGATATGGGGTAATCTTCTCCAGGGCAAAAGTGAACCTCCTCTACAGCTTGGGCCATTTGGGTGTTACCAGATCCGCCGAAAAGGCACGGGCCAGGCCTGCTGACCACGGACATTTGCTCCCTCCGTGGCAAGGCACCTTGGAGCGGACACGGGCGCGAGGGACGTCCGGAAGTGGGGAAATGCCTTCGGCCCCGGAGAACCCCCAGATCAACTGCCTGACTTTCAACCTGTGCGAACTCCCGGTTAATCTATACCAGGCCCCCAGGAGTGCCCTTTTACCCTTTTTTTTGGGGTGGGGTTCCCCAATATACCAAAGTAGACATCCATAAAAAAGAGGGTAGCCTTATTCTAATCTCTCTACTCGAGGACCTAGTATAAGTTCGAGGGGGAGCATAAAGACCAATAATTGCACCTCAGGGTTGGTCCATCAGTCGAACATGGCATGTGTCAAACATGAAACGGGCCAGCCAGCACTTGCTTGGTGTCAGGTTTTCCTGCCATAGCCTTCCACAGCCCGAGCTTCGTGCGATTTCTTCAAGCTGTTTTTTTCGGGTTCCCAGGGCACTTCTTCCCCTTTCCGTGGAGAACATAATCCTTTGGTTGCTTTGGAGTGAGCTCGCCCGGGTGATGCTACCGGGAAGTCTAGGAACCTGGGGGTTTCAGTAGGAGCCACGGGTGGAAGTTGTTTTCCGTGTCATACCGTTTCCTTGACATCCAAGAACCGCCTGCAAAAAAGGCCTCCTTAACCCCCGAGCCAACAGCCCTCGACCATGAGCGCGCTGGTAGACCTTCACCCAAAAGTGTTGTGACGCCTCCAGGGGGAGGTCTAGCGTGAATGACGAGGCGATATTCTGGAAAAATATTTTTCATGCTGAGAACCACTGGGGCCTAAAATGCTGATATCCGCAAAGACGTCCTGCCGGTTTCCGCCTTGTTCCTTGGAGAGATGCTTGAGGTTGAGCGCCTTACCTTCTCCGTGCTTTGGGAGATGACGCCGGAAGCAGAGGTGGTGGACACCAAGTACTGCAAGGCGGGCAGGTTCAGGGTTGGAAGTTTGGGTGTGGTTTAGGTTGCTTCACTGTTGTTGGCAAGTTGTTCGTTGTTTGATTTGTTTGGGTTCTGTTCATGTTCAGCAGGCAGCTGCAAAAGACATATTTTTGCAGCCATACCGAGGGTTGCAAAGGTTGGTGCTACTGATTTTGGCAACCTACTTGGCTGGGTTGGAAGTTGGGTTGTTAGAGTGCCAAGGAAGTTGTGCTTTCGGATTGTCCCGGCTCAAGACGAGTGGGATGTTTCCGCGGGCACCCGGGCGCCAGCTGGACAAACCAACCTGCGACTCATTGCGGGGCTTGACGAATGATGTAATGAACTCATACAAACATATTTTGGCGGCTGGGTGCTTGGTGCTTTATCATAGAGACATAGCTTGGAACTTGCAACTGGTTTTTCACATTTTGGAAACAGGGCGCTTGTGTATGTGTTGGAAAACACGCAGCGGAAACAATGCGTGTTTCTCTTCTCCCTTCATTTGCGCAGGTGTCGTTTGGCCTCACGCTTCGCGCAAAAACCGCCGCGCTTGTGAAGCATCACATCCGGAGGCCGCAGAACCCACAAGTGACAACTTGGAAGGTGTGAGCAACGCCGCATGACAGAGCGTGACAGAGCGGGAGCACAGCAAGCAGTCGCGGAAAGATTGGGCTCATCACTGATTTCGCAGAAAATTGCACCCCTGCAGATTTACATGGAATCAAGAATACCGTCATTTGTGGAGGAATCTCCTTTTAAAAACCCCCTGAGTTCGATGTTTATTTGCAGGGAGTGCCTCCTTTTTCTCCTTCGTGCAGGATATATCTCTGTGGGCAGCATGATATGCCGCATGGAGTGTTGCTGCAAGTGCATTTTGACATAGCTCGTGAGGCAACCTTTCTGGTAATATCAGTGGATTTCGATGAGCTACAATCAAAACCCGGGTAGGTGAATGTAGTAACAGTAAGGGACAATCCCGACCATGAATAGTTGAGGCTGCCTTCTTAATTCTTTAAGTGGTTCTGGGTAGACCATACCGGGTTTTGATTATGACTCGTATAATCACAGTGTTTGGATGCTAAATGCACATGATTGTTTGATTTTCCCAGGAAAAGAACAGGATGGATACCTGTGAAGCCCTTTGTGTGTCTTTTTCAGTCTTTTCGAGAGAAAGCTGTTTTTTGATGAAACAGCATTTTTCTAAATTTCGATCTTTTTTTGGAGTTTCGTGGGTAGAGTGGGTCTGGGAAGGCCAAACAAAGGCGGAAAAACCCGAAACAAGGGCGGACACAAACGGCAAAGGGCGGAAAAGTCCGGAAATCTTAGATGAGCCAGGTTACCTTTTCACAAAGCCAACCTTCTTTCCAAACAACGATCTTTGTTCCGAACAACGACCAAAATTTGGTGTTTTTTGCTCGAAGGCATTTTTTTCGCGCACACACACACGGGCTTCGCAGGTATGTTGTTTCGCAGCCAGCTGTTGTTGAGCGCTTGTCAGTAGCTCCGCTCCGACACTTTGACGATGCCGTGAGGCCATCATCAAGTCAAGGGAGGCTCTCTCTTATGCAGAGGCTCAGGCACGCATCGACGACCCACAGGCAGGGGGGAGTGGTGGTTCGACGGGTTTTACTGTATAACATGACTCCCTGGCGAAATGACCCAAACTCGTCAAGAATCAGAAGGTTCATTTGGAAGTCTGTGTAATTTCGGGGGAGTCACGTCATGAGTGGCAAACTTACAGACATGCCTGGTGCCAATTGCAGTATCGATACATCGGTCGTGTGCGATTCTGCAGTCTTTTATTACCAGCTCTTGGTCTTGATCGCAACTGGGTTCCAGTCTTGCATTGCCACCTACAGATTTCAATTGGCAGAAAACAAATGGAATCCTAGATCATCTCAATCAGAAAAACCAGTGCAGGTTTGCAACCCTGGGGATAAAGTGGCAAAGCTGCGATTTTGAGCTTGGAACGTGCGGAGACATTGGTTGGTCGGGGTCGTTTTAGTTGAAACTGGTTTGCCTTCGGTAGCTGTCTTGGGGCTTCAGCAGGTTTCTCCGTCGGATGAGTGACGGCTAGACCAAACGTCATGCTCCGCGACTGGTGACTCGGAAGATGCCTCCAGCCGCCCTTTCTTTAACCGAGCGTCATGGGCCCTGCGACGTCCCATCTTGTAAACGCTGAAAGTGCACTGATGCAGCAATGCCTGCTTAACCCTGCAAGCTACCAACTATGCACTGATATGTATTATTAATATACGCATACATATACATGTATACGTATTATGTTGTCTACGTTTATATTATATCATACATGCATAGCTTCTAATCAGACCCGATGCCTTGCTAAATTCATTGGGGTAACGCCACTGGAGTGTGCATGGAATGACACCAAGCAGGTCGCTGGTACGAGTCTCTATCAGCCCTAGGCCCTGAGTCGTTTGGACCGGGGGGGGGGGGGGGCAGAGCACCCCGATTTTGTGGTTTTACCTTGGTTTACCTTTAAA